CAAATTTGTAAAACCGAATGTCACGACAATCATGAAATTGTCGTTTTTAAATAAGCAATTACTTGGCGCCGGATTTATTTGAAGTAGTTTTTATAAATTTTATTGTTGTAAAATCATTTAAAAATAAAAGTAGTAAGTTGTAACCATATTATCGGATAGGAAACAATATGCAAGAATTATTTTTTTAATTTTTTTTAAGTATTTAAAAAATAAAATGGCTGGTTTAGGTTAAGCAAAATAATTTATAATGAGTTTTCTAAGTCAATTATAATAAAGAACATCATTACGTAAGATTTACCAAACACATACGCGTTAGATTTTGAGATTATTTTAATATTTACAACAAAAAATTAACAGAAGTTTACAACAAAAGTTTTTAAATCAAATTTGTAAAACCGAATGTCACGACGATCATGAAATTGTCGTTTCTAAGCAAGATTTTACTGTAACAAGTACGTGAGTATTAGCTTTTTTGTTATTTTAATTTTTTGTAAAACAAAATGAGATTTCTAAATCAATTATAATAAAGAACATCATCAGATAGGATTCAACAAACATAAACGCGAGATTTTAAGGTTATTTTAATATTTACAACAAAAAAATTAACAGAAGTTTACAACAGAAGTTTTTAAATCAGTTTTGTAAAACCGAATGTCCAACAATCATGAAATTGTCGTTTTTAAACTGTACCAAGTACGTGAGCATTACTTTTTCGGTTATTTTAATTTTTTTAAACAAAATGAGTTTTCTAAGTCAATTTAATAATAAATAATAAAAAAAAAATTATCGGATAGGATTCAACAAATATATACGCGTTTGATTTGAGATTGTTTTAATATTTACAACAAAAAATTAACAGAAGTTTACAACAGATGTTTTTAAATCAAATTTGTAAAACCGAATGTCACGACAATCATGAAATTGTTTCTAAGCAAGATTTCACTGTAACAATACGTGAGTATTAGTTTTTTGGTTATTTAATTATTTTTTTAAACAAATGAGTTTTCTAAGTCAATTATAATAAAGAACATCATCGGATAGTATTCAATAAATATATACGCGTTAGATTTTGAGATTATTTTAATATTTACAACAAAAAATTAACAGAAGTTTACAACAAAGTTTTTAAATCAAATTTGTAAAACCGAATGTCACGACGATCATGAAATTGTCGTTTCTAAGCAAGATTTTACTGTAACAAGTACGTGAGTATTAGTTTTTTTGTTATTTTAATTTGTTTTTTAAACAAAATAAGTTTTCTAAGTCAATTATAATAAAGAACATCATCGGATAGGATTCAACAAAAATATACGCGTTAGATTTTGAGGTTATTTTAATATTTACTACAAAACATTGACAAAAGTTTTTAAATCAAATTTGCAAAACCGAATGTCACGACAATCATGAAATTGTCGTTTTTAAACTGTAACAAGTACGTGAGCATGAGTTTTTTAGTTATTTAATTTTCTTTTTTAAACAAAATGAGTTTTCTAAGTAAATTTAATAATTATTACTAATAAAAAACATCATCGGATAAGAATCAACAAATATATACGCGTTAGATCTTGAGATTATTTTAATATTTACAACAAAAAATTAACAGAAGTTTACAACAGAAGTTTTTAAATCAAATTTGTAAAACCGAATGTCACGACAATCATAAAATTGTCGTTTCTAAGCAAGATTTTACTGTAACAAGTACGTGAGTATTAGTTTTTTGTTTATTTAATTTTTGTTTTAAACAAAATGAGTTTTCTTAGTCAATTTAATAATTAATAATAATAAAAAACATCATCGGATAGGATTTAACAAATACATACGCGTTAGATTTTGGAGTTATTTTAATATTTACAACAAAAAAATTAACAGAAGTTTTTAAATCAGTTTTATAAAACCGAATGTCACGCAATCATGAAATTGTCGTTAAACATAATATTACTTTTTTTAAAGTTTTTTGGTTATTTTAATTTTTTTAGATAAAATGTATGGTATTGAATTAATTTTGTAAAATAAATAAATTATATTATAGCTGTTTTTAATAATAATATTAAAACTGACAAGGAAACTGTCAGTTTTATTTTTCTTGGATTTTGATGAAACTATGCATGGTGATTGAGTTGATAGTCAGGACAAACCCTGTAAAATATTATAGGCCTATGAGAAGCGGTTTAATTATAAAAAATTAATTAAAGTCTTGAAAAGCATACAGTATTCCATATTAAAATGTCTACTACTTTTAGAATAGAGTGTTAATACGTATAATATATGTACTTATAGATTTATTTTAAATATATCAATTTTTGTTGCATTGAGTTAATAATCACAAATATTTTTGCAATATTGACATATTAGAAAATTAATTTTACAGATATTTTTTAACTTTATTATCTATGAATACAAGTGCAAAAAATAAATACCATCGCTTAAACTGACCCTATATACATATTAATGCAAGACACTGTATGCGCGCTATTTGATTTTCTCAACTTCAATGGATTTTTAAAATTAAACTACTTATCATAGGCCTATAATATTTTAAGGTGTACATTTTGACTATCAACCTTATCACCTTCCCAAGTTTCATCAAAAACCCAGATCATTAACCCTGAGAGTCTCCTTGTGAGTTCGTTAAATCTCATCGAATAGGCATTAATATGCAAGCATTCATTTGACACATTTTAGACAGAAAGAACTCCAAATTGTAAATCAAATTAACGATTCTAATAAAACTACATGTATATTTATATAATGTATTACTCAGAATTCAGTTCATCCAAACTAAAATTAACTTTAAATAAAAAACGCATAAACATCTGCATTTCGAAACGTTTGCTTTGATGTTAAAAATATTACATTCTTCGGAATGTAGGCAGTGATAAAAAATCTTTGAGTGACATAATTGTGCGTGACACATGTCAAATATTAACCGTTCACATGACAGAAGTGTCACGGGAGTTATTTACGTTATTGTAAATGACTTTATAATTATATATATATATATATATATATATATATATATATATATATAGTGGAATTCGACATTATGTTAGGCATGCTAAAACTCAAAAAACGACTGAACCGATTTGGCCACTTTTAGTCTTGTAATATTTTTCGTAACCCGAGAATGTGAGAGAAGCAAGAAATTATTTAAGATTGAATGAAGATTATGTTCAATAAAATTACAAATTTTTTTCAAATAAGTTGTTTTCAACTCTTTTTTAAAAATAAAATTAAATACATCAACGTTCAGTAATTTAGATTTGAGGTTAAATTTTTCAGAAATAAATTTCCGGATATTTGATCTTTAAATTATTGGAATTAATATTCAATAATAATTGTAAAAAATAAAGCATTACCAAAAAAGTGATAATTTAGTTTATTATATAATTTCTTCAAAAATTTTGAGGTTAGGTTTTCCAAAAATATATTTATTAATATTTAAATTATTTGAATTAATATTTAATTTGTTTGTAACAGAACAGAACATTTGCAAAATGATACAAAACTTTTACTTATAATGTGACTTTTTACAACAAAAAAAGGAGAATTAAATTAAAATATATTAAGGTTATGTTTTTTTTTAAATATATTCTCATACATGTATTACTTAAATTAATTATATGTTAGTGATATTTGTTCTCTAGCCAAAAATTGATAAAAATTTATGTACTTTTATGTACTCTATAATATGATTTTTTTTTTCCAAAATCTGATTGAGGTTAGATTTTTCAAAAAAATATATTCGGTCACTTAATATTAAAATTGTTTGAATTTATTTTTGAAAATTCTGTAAACAAAACATTCGCAATACGCTATAAAACTTTTACTTATAATGTTTATTTCTTTGGGCGCAAGATAGTAAAATTAAAATATTTTGAGGTTATGTTTTTTCAAAACATATTTTAGGCATGTAATCTTTAAATTATTTGAATTAATATATTAAATATATGTTATAGAATATAAATATTAGCAAAAATTAATGAAAATTGATAAACTTTTCTTTATAATATGATTTTTTTCCAAAATTTGATTTAGGTTAGGTTTTTCAAAAATATATTTTCGGCCACAAAATATAAATCTATTAGTATTATTTTTTGGGATAAAATGACGAAACTTTTAGTAACTTATTATATATATATATGTTTTTGAGATCTAAAATTTTAGCTAAATTCAGAAAAATTCGGCAAAAAATTAAATTTATTAATTAAATTGATGTTAAATAGAAAATTTTAGAATAGTGAAATAATAAATAAATAATATTTCAATTTTAAAATATATATTTTTTAAATATATATATATATATATATATATATATATATATATTTTATTATTTTATCTTAGTTTGTTTATAAACCTTTAAAAGATTTATATTTGCTTTACTAATAACAATATTATTTCAAGATCAAGTAGAAATATTTGTGTATTTATTTTAGAATAATTTCTTTCTCATATGGCAACACTAATATGGTATTTTGATCTTGGTAGCATGAGTTTTGAACATGTAATTTTGAGGTTAGGCGAGTATATAAAAATAAATAAATATTTATAAAATAATTAAAAAAATAATGAAATTTATGAAAAAAGTAAAATATTTTGTACGTTTCATTAAAAAGTTCTAGTATTCTAATATAAAATAATAATAATATCGTTTGACGACCTGTGTGTACGAGTGTCGCCGATAGACGACATGATACTGAATATTTGAGTTTAACTTTGGCACTGGGTTGAATTATTGAGAAATCTAATTTGTTATTGTGATTTTTAATTTTATTTTAAAAGTGAAATTTTTAATTTTCAAATAAATTTTGATTGATAATTGTAAAATATTTTTTAAGCGAAAAACAAAAAAATATAATTGCATATAATTTTATTCATAATTTTGAAAGAAATCTTCAAAATTATTAACAATTAATTTTACTGGAAAATTATATATTAAAGTATTTTATATAATTACTATATCTCATATCTCGTTTTATAATGACTAATATGTATTTAAATACAACACCGATAAATCATCACGCTTAACCTCAAAACCAACTATCAAAACCACAAACTACCAACATTAAAACCACAAATTGCCAACTTCATAGCTATCACAAAGCCATATAATTAATATACATATAATTTATATATTTTTAAAATAAATATATAAATTTATAATTAAGTATTATCAAATTTTAAATTATTTATAATTGGGTTTCGAATAAATCCAGATTGTGTAAGTAAATAAAACAAATAATATAGAAATTTTATAAGAATTAGTCGGATAAGACTTACCAGTTCCATTGACTCCAGAAGGCCTTATTCTGGCATCGTAATGGCCTGGGCCTAAAATTTGGTCCAGAACTTGCTTTTCTTTGGCCCTGAAATTTTCTTTGCCGCCTCCTAGACGAGGTTTTGCATTTGCAGATCTAAGAGAAAAAAAAATAATAATAATAGTATATAATAAATAATAAAATAGTACATAGAACCTTCATGATTTTTTCTATTTAAATATAATTAAATATTCAAAAAGAAACAAAATTAATTTTTTTTGCATCGAGTTTTAGTTTCTGCTTTTAACACTAGTATGAAGTTAGCCCTGCTAACCGCTGTGTGACAAACCTTAATAATTTTTTGAATCATAATTTTAAGTACTAACCAAAACGAAAAATAATCTTATGTTAAATTTAAAAAGAAATGTATAAACCAAAACAAGTTATTAACTTCCCGTAGGGTAGTTATAGTAATAGGCCTTTCTCGACGTTTTAAAGGTTTCTGAACATTTTGGCAAACCTCAGAAACTAAATGGATGTGTGTGTGTGCGGATACAAATTTATCTGTCGACGATTTCAAGCGCACGGATCAACCGATTCGAATGATTCATTTTCCATTCGATTCCTATTGATAGGGAGATGTGCTGATTAGTTTTTGGCAAAGGCAGATCCAGCCATTACGGAGATACGGAGCAAAGAGTGCAGAAATTACAAATCGAGTTTTTGAGAGAACCGAGTATCGGATTTGAATAATCCAAAAAACATCAAATTTGTAATGATTGGGAAAAGAAGTGATTAGTTTTTGTCAAAGACAGGTCCCGTCATTTCGAAGATACCGAGCTAAATGTGCAAAAAATGGGAGTTTTTAAGTGAACTAAGCATCCGATTTGAATGATCTGAAAAACTTTCTGCTCGTATTGACAAAACAATTGCTTTTGAGGATAAAAAATTATTACATATTTGTTTTATTTTCCATAAAATATTTTTGTGATTTTGGATTAAAAATTCAAAAAATCGCCCAGGCTAAGCACAGTCTAAGAGCCACCCTGGTACAAATGTTTACCCGAGTGCGTTTAGACGTTTTATGCACTGGTGCACTTTTCCGAATTTGTGAAAACTATTAAAAAATGTGAAAATGCCGCCAAGCAAAGCACAGTATAAGATAGAATGTCGCACAGAATTATTTGCGAATGCGTTTAGACTGTGACTATACGGGAGCACTTTCCCAATTTTGTGTAAATATTTTTTTGAAATTGAATTCGCAATGAAATGACGATTGTTAATGTTCTGGAGATAAATTGATTTATGATTTACATTTGATTTGCTCAGATATAACAAGATAGCAAAAATAATGAAAGTTACAGTATTTGTAATAATATATTTGAGAACGTTTAAAGTTTTTCGAATATTTCAGTACGGTACGGGAAGAATCCAGCAATTTGCCTTAAGGCACGATGCCATGCACCACTAGTTATTATTTGCAATATGGCAGAAAATTTATAAAACTAGTATGAGACTATATTCACGAACAAGTAAAATTATTAATTATTAAGGTAACTCACACAGAGTGTTTAATCAACAAAACAAAAGCTTGCGAAAAAGCGAGTTTTTATATCGATTGTTTTCGTTGGATAAAATAATAAGTTTTCTTTAAACATTTTAATCAAGGTGTTGTGTAAATAATAAAATAATAAGTTTTCTGTTAATATATATATTATTTTTAATTAAATTTTACTCACAAGCATGTGTGTAGACTTAGACATGTTATCAAAAGTAGGAGCAAACTAATGCTGTCCATCCCTGAAGATAAAGTGAAGAAATTCTTCTTCTTGAATCGAAGAATAGGCTTCGCCGATATTCTGAAAAGTGGAAAATATATAATTAAAAACGATATAAAAATATTGCAGACATTAATTATTAAGCAGAATATTTTTTTAGCAATGAAAAATTTGTAAAGAAAATCTCAAAATTATTTGTCTTAGGTTAATAGTCAAAACTTAAGTTTCTGATTTATAATAGGCTTATGATAAGAATTGTTCAGAACGCTCACATTTTTGCTAAATTTTATTTTTTTCTATCTGATTTCAGTTATTTCAATGAAATTCAATAATTGTTGTAATTTTCAGAAACTGACCTCGAGGAAATTAAACCATTTTGACTTTATTCGTTTCGGACAATTTCTTTACCGCCTACTAACTTTGTATTTTGGTAAAACCACTTTCAACCGATGCCAAAATATGCCAATGTTTTAATTTTAGATTAACTAGTCATAAGCAAAATTTTGAGGCTGATGAAATAGGCGGTAAAAAATAATTTGCATTAAAATATTTGTTAAAAGTATAAGTATAAATTAATTACATAATACATAAACCAGAACTAACAAAAATATTAGGTTATACACATTCTTGGCTAACTTCAATATTGTACACTAACATGTGGTAACACCAAAGGAAAAACAATCTCAGAGTCTCATTTCTGTCTCAATTTCAAAATTATAATCTCGTTGTAAAGTGTATTTATTGAAACAAAACTATTTTAGGCGCGACTAGGGTGTAAATCCGTACAAATGCAACGGAAGTGCGTTACGGCCGAGACGAGAGTGCCAATGATTCGTCATTCTCTCTCGATGATATCATTTCGATACGGGTCGATTGTGATTGGTCGTCGTGTATGTGAATAGAGATCTGTCGTTGTATGCGTACCGATATCAGCAAGAAAATCGGCATAGATAAATAAACATTTTAAAGTTACATCGTAGTACAAATGTTGATTGAATAAAAAATGCCTGAATCAGCAGAATATTTTACCATGTTCCTTGAAAATAATAAAACAAATTAAACATTTGGGCCGTGTACTAAACGTAAGTTTATTGATTAGAAATTATTTCTATATTATTCGTAAATAAAAAGGGACTCTACTGACGACCAAACTAGAAATAAAAAAGGAGGGACACTCTACTGATGAGCAAAATAAAAATTAAATTCTACTAAGAGACTCTACTGATGATTAAATTAAAAATTAAAGGTAAAAGGGACTATACTGACGAGCATACTGAAAGGGACTCTACTGACGAGCAAAACTAAAAATATAAGAAAAATAAACTTTACTGATAATTAAATTAAAAATGGAAGAAAATGGGACTCTACTGACGAGCAATGTGAAAATTTAAAAAAGGGGCTCTAGTGATGATTAAATTTAAAATTAAAGGAAAAAAGAACTCTACTGACGAGCAAAATAAAAATAAAATTCAAAGAGACTACACTCGACTGATGATTAAATTAAAAATTAAAGAAAAATGGACTCTCCTGACGAGCAATCTAAAAATAACATTAAAAAAGGGACTCTACTGGCGAGCAAAACTAAAAATAAAATCAAAAATGGACTTGTAGATTCTATAAATCTTTGAAGTTATTAAATTGGAAAATATTTTTTAGGCAAGACAAATATTTCAGCTGTTTAAAAAATAAGATTATATCGCCAGCGAAAAAGTAAAAAAAAATACAAGCAGTCAATGAATGTATGTTAATTTTAATTGCATGAAGTTCTTCAAACACAATTATTACATGATAAGTGAAGTTGCAAAAACATTATTTGTTTAGGCGTTGTTTAACATAATCCACTGTGTGAACGAATATTATAGAATTTATCAATTCCGCAATTACTTCATTTCTCGAATGAAGGTTCAAGTCCTAAATGCTAATTAAAATGACAAACCGATCATGTCGAATTTGAAGTATGACTTTAATTACATTATTATTTTTACACATTATACATATTTTAATGCTATTATAAATATATAATTTATAATTTATCATTATATAAATGTGTATAATGGTTGAAACTAATAAATGTGTGCATCACGAGTGTTAGCATATTACTAATAAACATTATTTAAAATTGTTATATGATGTATTTATTGCCATCTTGTACAAAAGCAAAAAAGTATTACTTAAATCGCGTGTGAAACTTACGCGCACTCTTTTTTTTCTATATAGCATTTTATTTGTTATGATATCTGGGGATAAGCTAGTACTTTTATATCCGCATCAAATAAATATAAAAATACCATTCACCAACCTTTACACTTAACATGTCTTTTGTACAGAAATTCCGCAAAAAACATTTTTAACTTAGAATCAAACTCAAAATAACTGTTATCCGCCAAATCAATATTAATCTATCCCGAATTTCACAAAAATAACAATATTTCTGTCGGTCGCGCCACATTTTGTTCCCAGACGTCTCATTAAATCACCACGACTACACTTTCCGCTAAAACTGTCGTAAATTTAACGGCCGCTAAAACTCATTTATCACAACGATTGAAAACATTTGTCAAAATGACCAGATAATGGTTATTTAAGAAGACAACTTTTAAAAATAAATAGAAAAAGGAATAGACATTTTCACGGTCGAATTAAACCGTTATATATATAATAACCTGATTGATTTGACCGTCTGTGTGAGATGCCTTAAGAATTAATAATCTCACTTACTCGTGAATATAGCTCCATTGCAAACTAGTGGTGTATGGCATCGTGCCTTGAGGCAAATTGCTGGAACTTCCCGTAACAAAATAAAATTTAACTAGTTGTGTATGGCATTGTGGCATAAGGCAAATTGCTGGAACTTCCCGTACCGTAATGAAATATTCGAGAAATTTTAAACGTTTTCAAACATATTATTACAAATAATGTAACTTTCATTATTTTTGCTATCTTGTTATATTTGATGAGCAAATCAAATGTAAATCGTAAATCAACTTATCTTCAGAACATTAACAATCGTCATTTCATTTCGAATTCAATTTAAAAAAAAATAGCTGCCTAATTTACACAAAAGTTAGAAAAAGTTCTCCTGTATAGTCACAGTCTAAACGCATTTGCAAATAATTCTGTGCGACATTTTCACTTATACTGTGCTTAGCACGGCGGCATTTTCACACTTTTCAATGGTTTTTACGAAATTGGAAAAGTACTGCGAAACATAAACAGTCTAAACGCACTTGGGTAAACATTTGTGCCAGAGTGGCGCTCAGACTGTGCTTAGCATGGATAATTTTTTGAAATTTTAATCCAAAATTTTAAAAATATTTTATGAAAAATAAATAAGTTGTAATAATTTTTTATCCTCAAAAGCAATTGTTTTGTCAAAATAAGCAGAAAGTTTTTTAGATTATTCAAATCAAATAAATGCTTAATTCTCGCAAAAACTGCCATTTTTTGTACATTTAGTTCGGTATCTCCTAAACTAAAGAAAATTTAATCTATTTTTAAAAAAATAATTTTTGGTACAGAAAGTTCTAGCAATTAGCCTTAAGGCACGATGCTATACACCACTAGTATTATATATATCTTTACGTTTCAGACCGTTCTGAACATTTTGGCATACTTCAGAAAAAAATGATGTATGTGTATATGTAATAAAGTAGAAAATTCTCAAAAATCAAATTTTTTGAAATGCTCATATCGTGGTACGGGAAGTTCCAGCAATTTGCTTTAAGGCACGATGCTATACACCACTACATCTTCACGTTTCAGTCTTTCTGAACTTTTTTTTACCTAAAATGATGTATGTGTGTATGTGATGAAGTAAAAACATTCAAAACTTTCAAAACTCTCAAAAATCAATTTTGTTCAAAGTTTTAAAAAATGGTAATTTCATGGTACGGAAAGTTCCAGCAAGTTGCCTTAAGGCACGATGCTATACACCACTAGTTTTATATATCTTTACGTTTCAGACCTTTCTGAACACTTTGGCATACTTCAGAAAAAAATGATGTAAGTGTGTATGTGATATATGTGCGGGCCAACAAAGTAGTTACATTCAAAAAATTCAAAATTCTCAAAAATCAATTTTTTTCAAAGTTTTCCAAAATGTCAATATCATGGTGCGGGAAGTTCCAGCAATTTGCCTTAAAAAAACAGTATATTATAATGTGGTGATCTTTCATTTTACATTTTACATAAAATCATTTGTCCATCAATATTAAAAAAAAGTGTTGCCTAACGCAATTGGTGTTACCCAATTGAAAAAAGTATTGCCACGTGCAATGGGTGTTACCCAATTCCAACCAATTAATACCTATCCATTACTAATCGAATGCTATGTTTATAATTACGAGTTAATTACTAGAACTTCAACAAATCAATTAAATGATAATTAATCTAGAAGTCTTTACAGATTTCAAAACAGAACATCACCATGATGTGCAACATGGGACGGATTTGGCACGGGAACAAAACATCTGTTTTCGTAAATATAGAGAGAGAATCAATCCGTAGAATAAACATATAGCATTCTTAAATTAAAATTAAATAAATATTATTACAAACTGAACGAAAGTTTTCACAATATCCTGTTACAAGTCAAAATAGTAATAGTCATAATAAACATTATTATATATATATATATATATATATATATATATATATATACAATTCTTCTGTACGGGTGTATAATTTGATACTTTTCCTAAACGGTTATTCGGATTTGGATAAATCTTTTTGGAGTTTGTCAAATGAAATTTTTTGAAAGATGAACGATAAAACTATAGTACAAATATATATATATATATATATATATATATATATATATATCCATTACCATTACAAATCTATTTACATCTCGTCAAGAGTCTATTCTATTTAATTACGAAATGTCATCGCCATTTCTTCAACGATTGATCTACTCGAATTGTTTCGTTAATTATATAGTTGGCAAAGTCGTTAAATAGTGATCGAATCACAAATCGACACAAATAAAATCACAAGTGATCGGAATCACGATTTAATACGATACTCATGTCTCATGATGAAGTAGAAACACAACAAAATAGAAAGGGTGCTCCGCTGACGGG